TTTTATTTACCAGTTACAGCCTGCGTCTCACAAACGAGGATTATTGATATTAACTTTCTTTTTTTGTTTCAACCTATACTCGGATCCTCTGTGGATAGCGGCTACCCGTAGGGAACCCAAGTATTGTTTTACCTATTTTATGTATCTATGCATCGTGTAGCATTTTGGAAGCACAGGTAACCCAACAGCCAATAAGGTTGCGCTTCAGTCTTAGTAGGAAACAGGCAGGCAAGCTCTTTCAATTTTAAATTTGATACCGCGTGACGTAGCATATCATCAATCTCGTTCCAAGGCCCCTATCCCTTTGCTTGGGGTCAGGTGGGAAAAGGTCTGACCTTTTTTTACATATTCCAAGTGTCATATCAATCACAGAATGTGACGCCATTTATCATGACACTTTTCTATGACGTAACTCGGGTAAGCGCTCCAAGAGCGTCTTGTTTTATTTATATATATATTTTCTGTTTTAGGACTTGGTGCTTGGAGAGTGGATCATAACCAGTTCTTAATGATGTAATTGAAAAATTGCTTTTCTTTATTTTTTATTTTTTTCAACTTATTCTATTCATGTACTTGTGTTGCACTATAACAGTGGTGCAGGCATAAACAGACATTTTCTATGTCGTCGTGACGTAATCTCATGAATTGTATACTTGTGTTGTTCGTAAGTCTCTAGTAAAAAAATAGGTAAGCAGTGCTTTATGCTTGATGATGTGCTTGCGTCTGTGCTTAAATATGTCGATGTGTTAGTGTTACATATTGTTGAGTTCACTCCTATTCTCTATATAGTATTTCAGCTTTGTTAATAAAGCATTTTCCTTCACTACCTTCTTTTTCAATCATTTTTTCCATCCAGCTATTTCAGAAAACTTCGAATACTGAATAGAGCATAGTCCAAGACCGCACTTTATTGTTTCTATTAAACTGCACGTTTTTTTATAGTGTGCTATTAGTATAAGTGTGACAAATTATTAGCACTCTTTTCGCACWATTTAGTAATTAGTGTTTCACGGTTTCACTGAAAGCACTCAGGTTGCTTTGCAATATCACAACTTTATTGCTTTTCATTGAAGTTCTTACTGTAAGGAGCTTGTATAGTCACTCTGAAACAACGAAAGCTCCTTTTGAACGACGACAGAACTAATAACAATTGCAGTCTTAGAATACACTTTCTTCAGTATTCTTTGTTTCCTGGAATAGCTGTATAAAGGAATTTCAATTTCAGTGACTTTCTTAACGAGYTCAACATCACTTACAAGGACTGGAGCTTTGTGAACCCGACGATATACGAATCAAGAGAGATAGTATCCGACAAGACAGAAGATATCAAGATAGCTTACCCTGCTCTCAAAAATGACCCGAMATTTGGCGCTTTCACTAAGTCTGATCTTTGGAAGTACCTTTTAAGGCCAGAAAATCTTGCTCAAGTTCATAAATATGCCTCCGTTTATACGTACATATCAGATATGATTACATCAGAAGGAGCGAATTATCTGGCCGACTTGCAGTTTCACCGAGGAGACGTACAAGAGCTTGTCGAACCCATCAGCTACTTTGAGTGGTTAAAAATGATGAATTTAWTGACTGGAAAGTACTATAGACCACATGGAGGGATGTCTGCAATCATAGCAAACCTACTTGACAGAGTAGAGTCCTTGGGTGGCCATATTTACCTAAACAACGAAGTGACTGCTCTTTACAAAATCTGGAGATCCCGCTACATAGTGCGAACACCACGATTTAGAGCCATTGTGAAGAAATTGGTCATCGCAGTACCACCAGGATCTTTTAGGAAAATCAGAGGACGAGTTGCTAGAATGATTCAGAAAACAGCAGAGTTTGACTCTATTTTGCCGATTCAAGCATTCAAGGGCGGTGCTATMTATGCGGACCCTTGGTGGGAAAAGGTAAAAGTCAAGAATATGTCCATCAAAGCTGGACAGCAATTTATCTCTCAGGACAACTGCATTGGATCAAGCTTGGCCCATAGGTATGCTTAATAGAATAGAGGGGCTATTATGAGGGTTAACCCACAGAAAAACCTTTTAACACCCGCTTAAAAGAAAGAAAAAACATAGCTACTTTTTTCTGAAAGGGGTATTCCATACTAAAATCCGCGCATAAAAGTGCACTAAAGCCGTAAATCGCATTGTAAATTCTTCAATTTACCTCAGCTGAGCAATATCTTCTCAAACGGAAACCTCTACAGAAGTGAGAGCAATACCGAAAACCCAAAAATCAGCAGAAACCTATACCGCTATAAAAAATGAGACATCACGGATTATTACGTTCCTTTCCACTCTTCCCTGTTCAATGTTGATTCGGGGACTGTTATAAGACGGAAATACTCCAAAACCGACAGAGGACTCTCCCAAGAATATTGTAAAGGTGTGGGGTCTTTAATTTTTGCGGACGATTGTAGGTCTCCCACCAAATAGGGGAAAAGACTGAGGGCTTWACGCCCTCAGGAAAGGGATCGCTTGCACTGCATACACAAAGTGAACTATCCTCCACCGTTATGTTACCTTAGGTCTGTCTTTCCTTTTAAGGRGCTACGGTAAAAATGGCGAAGGAGTATTGCACACAATCTACACGGACAGCCAATGCGCCAGGAGTTGGCATGGGATTTGGAAACTAAAGAAAAACTACATTGACGATGAAGTGCACAGAGCACTTGAGGCAAAGTATGGATGCAAAATTCCAATTAAACCGAAAAAGACGGAGTATCAGTATTGGGACTCTGCATGGTAAACCCCTTGTAGAAATAACAATCATTATAAAACTTCTTAACAGTAGTATATGGCATTACTATTAGMTACTCATTTGAGAACAAAATCGATTGATGAATTCAAAAAAAATAACAAAACGCTGTTTTGGCACTAATTTCCGACCATGAAAATTACATTTTTTCATTGCGATTTTCTACAAAATCCTTCTTCCAAACAATTAAAACACTGTTTCTGATAAAGTTCAGTCCTATTTCTGCCACCTGAACTATTAAGTTTTCCATTTTTCCCGACACAGTTTCTGTTCTAACGTGTTCTAACAGTATATTCGCGCGAAATGAATTATGGGAAAACACCGTACTGTGCGCGATCAACTTTCCCTTCCATCCTAAAATAGGATTTTTTATAAAGTCTAGGGCCTTATCGGAATTCTGCACAAATTTCGAGTTGGTTGTGTTATTCGATAGCCAAAACTTCCAAAAATTACTGTGGCAGGTCCAAGAATTTGCCTTTAGACGGTCTTTTAAGTGAAACTCTTTATGCGAATGTCCAATTAAGTTCACCGAATCGCCTATTGAARCAAAATCGCCTAAAAMGTTGCACACCAAGCTTTATTCTTTCAGCAACTAAGCTCCTTCACTACCTACAAACTTAATGATGTCCGTAGAGTAGTGACTAAAAAATCCGTATTTCTTGGAGTCTAGCTTACCGCCAAATCAAGCAAAATTTCGAACGAAGCATTGTGCAAGAATAATGAGCATTCGGTATTACAAAACAGCAAAAGTTTCCATAGAAACGACAATCTTTTAACCTCAAAAATGCCTTATTTTTCTCAAAAGTCCCAGTAGGCAAAGGGTTAATAAAAACAATGGCAAAAAAATTAGTGGGGAGGCTACTACCCTACAGACCACCCTGCTCAGCGGTCCCTGAAAACCGAATAAATYTTTCAATTATGTTTTCCATTCCATTTTCAGATAAAAACAATCATTTATATTTGTACTTCAGGCATTTCCAGAAGTCAGGCACATCTTTCTCTTTGACTGATATCAGTGACTGGGCGAAGCGACCGTTCAAAAGAGAGAACATCTTTGTCGTTGGAGAGTCGTATCACCCGATGCGAGGTTGGTGTGAGGGAGCGATTGTCTCGTGCCGTCATGCGCTCAAAGAGGGTTGGGGAATCGTTAAAGATGTGGAACACAAATTCGTTAACAAAGAGTTTTTCGTAAATGATAATTTCGACGTGTTGTAAACAATAACTTKTGCAACAAAGCAACACAATATATTTCCTTCAGAAAAATGGTATTGAAATAAACTTTAATCAAAAGTGGAAAACTCTATGTGTTACAATCTATTTCCAGTTTATTTTAACATGTTTTGGAAATGTTTTCGTTGCTACCAATTGTCAAACTGGTAATTGCCCCGTCGCATAATTACGTCACACCAAAACATTCTATTAATGTTTTAACGCTAAAGATTATGGTCGCCAGAAGGGATCACTGTGACTGCATATGAAATAAAATGTAGATGAGCTATCATTGATGAATGATGTACATCAAAGCTCGATACATTAAATGTCCACTTTTGGAAAAAATGTTTATAGGACCAAATTTCCAGTCTTTTTGAGTATCTTTCCGCAAATATAAACATACTGTGACGTCATTATGCCATTGGGCAAATTTACCAATGTGATGCACAGAAGAAGAATGAATGTAAGGTCTACTGCCAACCAACAGTCAAATATTTCACGAGTTAAATGTAACGACTCCAAATTAACGCACCCTTAAATCGAGCTTCCATGCATTGTSYACAAACCAGCACTTCGTCTAGATTCATGTAGGTATGTTTAGACAACAGAGTCACATGTTTGATATATATATTGACTGCATAGTCCCCGACCTAAATGCATAAGAAATGGAAAATGAAAAATGAAAATCGATTCCACTGATTTTTCCATCATTTACCGACCATACCAGCTTACCACCTTTACTTTAAGATTRATTTACGACTTAAGAGAATGTTTATTCGTCAGTCACATATTAGAAATCAATAACCGCGAATCAGCCAATCAGAATTCAGGAAAGTTACACGACATAAAATAAAGAATAACAGTGTCGAACATGAGAAAAGGCAAGCCTTTGAAAATTGAGCGGCACCAATACCTCTATATTCAAAGAAAATTTTACGCAGGTTAATATGGCGAATTCCAAAGTATTTTTTTGGTTAGTGCCTTGGAACTAGTCTAAAGCGACTATGCCAGGTCTTATAAGTGCGTCTGTTTGTTTTCATGTAATTTATGATAGCTTTCCCTCTTTCTCTTCGACACACAAGGTCATCATTTGCATCGTCCCTTGATGATTTCAATCACAGGTGCATGCGCAATATACCAATCCCGCATTCGCTTGGATGAACACGAAACAATCACTTCATTTCGAGGCTGGAGTTTTCGACAAAAGATAAAACTCCAGCCTCGAAATGAAGCCATTGTTCCGTGTTCATCCAAGTGAATGCGGGATTGGTCTATTGGCTTGTTCAGGAGTCCATTACGAACCCCCCCCCCCCCCGACTTGTTCATCCCCCTTGGTCCTCCTTTTACCATATTGGGTGTCCTGTGTGATGTGCATATTCCCCTTTCTTATAATTTTGTTGCTAATGATATCAAGACCAGAGATAACCCGTGAAATAATTATAATCGTGAAATGCAATAATCTGTGATACAACAAAAAGAAAAAAACGTGCACAATAAATAGCAAAAAATTGTGGAACGCTAAATTATGTTTCACGGGTTAAAGTACACCATTAGAAATTCATTCTCATCCAAAAGCGAAAATGCTGTATTTGCGAAGAAAGAAATTGATATTAAAGAATGATTTAATATTTTAAAAATTATTCCTATGATTGATGATTTTTAAATCATAAAAGCTCTTCAACCAAGACTTTCGGATAAAATTGATTTTTATAAAAATATCATGTGCACTGTAAACCAGTCTAATCAACATTATTTAGCAGTAATTAGCTTTTTTGTTTCGCGGATTAAGTGCGTTCACTCTACTTAAAGATAATTTCCATATCTAAGGTTCGTATTCGGAATAATTGTAGCCATTTTCAATACAAGGTCAAATGAAGACGATTTTACGCGGTGCTTGCGACTCATAGCTTTAACCAGACTTACAAAGTGAGTGAGTTTATTGTTTGACAGTATATAAATGATACATCGTTAAAACTTGAAAGTGGTGGTAAAAATATAGAACTTAAGCACTTTATTCGTACTAATTTTCGYGGACACTTAATTTCGTGAAAAATATCGAAACAGTCATCGTGGACATTATTTTTGACGTTTTTGCCAAATAATTCCTTAAAGGTATGGGCTTCTTTGCTTGAACKTTTTTGTGTTTTTTTTTTTAATTTCCCATTTTTTTACAAATCGAGAAAATTGCGAAATTAAAGTGTCGTGAAAATTACTTTCGAATAAGGTCCATAATGGAACTTCCGTTGCGTTTCAATGCTTTGTAAACAAAGTCATGTTTATACAAGATCAAAATATTTCAGATAAAAAAATACATAAAAATCTGATAATACCCTACAAGGATTGGAAATATTGCGGTACACTTATTGGATAACAATTGCTATTCACCGACTAGCCTACTCCCTGTGCAGCAATACCAATTTTTTGCATAAATAAATAGTTAAATGAATAGTTAAGGAGTTCCGCCTTTTTTTGAATCATAATATATAAATAAAATGTGATACATGCTGTGTATTCTTGCTTTTCCTATGCCTATAACCTGCCTTTATGCATCAGATATCTAAAACCACGGTCCCTAAACCTCCGGGCAATACCAGGGTATTTCCCGGTCCTTGGAGGCCAAAAGGCAGCTTTTCCCCTTGATTCTTATATTCATGGATAAATTATGTTGATTCCCAGTCCTTCCCGGTGGCCCGAGATGCATAATCAAATTGACTACCTACAATRATAAATTAATAATTATATAAATAATTAATAATTTAATCCGTTAACGAACGTAAAACGTAGGTCCATGTCATATGAGGGTGCGTGACTGCAGCCCCAGAACTTTTTTTGTCACATTTCTCCTATATTCTGACTCAATTCACTCGTAACCCACAATCTATTGACATTGAGTCAGAATATGTGCGTCTAATATTTGTGGGTTGTGGATTGTGTTCAATTTGCTTATTTGTCTCTTCTATAGAGCGCCATTCTGTGAAAAATGCGTGGTCGGATGAACTTGGTCGTATGAATAATAACTCTTTTCCCATCATCCATTTCAGCGTGCAAGTGATTGCTCAATTAGGAATAATTTATGAATGATTTATCCGATAAGTTTTTCCAGCTCGTCTGTAAATGATAAAATACTGTAGACGTCGTAGATGCCTACATCATCTCTAAGAGAAGTGTAGTAGTAGTCGGGGCTCTGAATTAAAAAAAAGAAGAAATCCAAATTAACAACATATSAATCAACGCCTGCGACTTCGAGTGTTTTCTAAGTGTTGGGGGAGGAGGGAGATAATTTGGGAAAATATCAGAGAAAAGGAAAAGTGGAGTTGCTTAGCCTTCAGCCTGCTCTTCCAAATTATCGGTCTCTATTATTTTAAACGCTTGACAAATATGACCTACCTCATTGCGTAATGCATGCAGACGTGTCAAGAAAGGCCCATTGAGCTTTTTCAAGGAATTTTTTCTAATAACATGAACAACAACAGTAGAATTGTAAACAAAATACAAGCAAACACACATAAGTTTGAGAAGAAGGGGATACAACATATGCACCTTTATGCCTAATGGTTTTTCATTGTAAGCACAGGACAATTTGGGCGGTCATATCGTGGACGCTAGGCCTTAGGGCTTGATTATATGAGGCGGGCTAGCGCGGTTCAACGGGCTGGTTTCAGCTCAGTTTGTAGAGCACTGCACCAGCATCGCAGAGGTCAAGGGTTCGATTCCGTGCGATACATTTACTAATATCTTATTAGATTATTAAAAATTCACTACGACGATCACAATTCCTTGCACAAAGTAATTTCCATAAATCGTATTCTATATTTTGATAGTATTTATCATCAAAGGTACAAAAAGTCTTTGCAATGTCAATAACATTTGACATCATTTTTTCTTATTTTGAGTTTTTACTTGAAATCCTCCCAATAAATTTTAAAAACCTTTTTATGCAAATGACTTTGTTATCGTCTATATCACTTTGCAGCTGACCAACGTTAATGTGAGTGACTGTATTGATCATTTTCACTCATTTACAYCAGTTTCAAAAGATAAAAGACTGGCGACCATGTTGAAAGAATAAACAATAGATACTAGTGAGAAATCCTTAATTAGTTACTCCATCATAGCCGCTGTGAYGTAAAGTAGAAACGAAGAATATGATTACAGCATTGATTTAAAACCCATACGCATTCTGGGAGCCTTGGTGTGCAATAAACGTCACAGCAGCCATCTTGGTTTAACTTCAACAAAGGACTTCTCATTAGAATCTATTGTTTATTCCACCAACATGGCCGCCATTTTTTTCATTTTTTGAATCTCATGCGAATGATTAAAAACGAGCAATAACATTATTGAGGCATACTTCTTGACTTCAAGGCCAAAACTGCTGATCCAGTCCATGACCTCTTTGTTTTTCCAGCCACTGATGTCAACTTTTGTTCGTTCTTCTAGTACTGCGTCCACTGTGTCTACATTAACAGCTGTGAATAACAGCAGCAAAGCATGTTAGCAATACAATAAGTGAATCGATTGGTCTTATCAGGGTGAACTCACTAAACTCTTGCTTAACTTAAGAAATAATAGTAAATGAAAAGATCTAAGCGTGCGATTTTTTCCCCAGATGACCGATACAGCTTTTAGTTGATGTTTTTTTGTATTTATGACATAATTCATATTTCTATATTTTATAACCCCACACATCCTGCATCTGTACATATTTAGTTTTTCCTTCATCAGTAAGCTGTTTTATTGAATTTTTTTACAGCCTTGAATCTTTTTTGCATAACTGTTTCTTTAGAAACAGCTCATACTAGTTTACCGCTAGTTTCCACCACCTTATTCATAGCATGGATTTTTGTTTGCTATTTTTATCTATTATACACTCATTTAGGTAAAAAGGTTTTTTAAGATATGTATGTATTTTGTAGTTCTCCAATGAAAACAAAAGACAAAGATGGCGCCTATTGAAATAAAATAATAGATTTGTACATTTTTTTGCAAACGGTTGTATATCAAAGTAATTTCTTTTGTAAACGGGTGCATACGTTCACTGATTTTGCGCTTTCCATTTGTCAGAACTGCCTGGCCAGACCCAGAGTAAATGTCATTCATTCCCATTAAGTTAGGAAATTCAAATTTTCAAATTCTATCCATTAATCTACAGAAAACCTCCAAATGACTGTAAAATGTTGACAAAAAGCATTATATACCTCTAAATAGAGTGGACTGGCCGGCCAGTTCTGCCTAAATGGAAAGCACCCATATATTTGAAATCATAAAATTCAGTGTACCTTCAACCAAATCTTCGCTTCCAGCTTTGCCTCTGGCCCCAAGCTCTTTGACTAAATCACGGACGCTAGTATCCATTTTTCTTTGACCTTGCGCAAAATCAATCCAGAGTTTTGAGCCCATAATCATACCAAGCCAGCCGTCAGGTCTATAGTTGTTCTCCATCATCAACGGTACAATGTCCTTTTTAAGCTGGAAGGCATATTCTGCCTCTAAGGATTCAAAAGCATTTGTTTAAGTTAATTTAAATTGTGCGATGGAATAGTGTACAAAGCATTCTCGTACTCATACTCTGGGCTCCCCTGAGATTTCATGCCACATGATTGGCTAATACAGATATCAGTATTTCATGTCAGGGGGAGTACCTGTATTAGGGTGGGGATGATTGTCGGAAATGTAAAAAATACCCCTTAAAATATACCAGTCTATTACGAGAAAGGGTGTGACAACACAATATTTTAACTCATAAAGTCGGATTTAGACGGCATAATTTTTGCCTACAACCATCGCGTGCAACCTGCGTAAGTCATCCTTACAACATGGCTACAACTGTTATGGCGATTTAAACCAATTGCTTAGTAATAGCTTCACGGCAGTTGTAGCTGTGTTGAAACCATGGCTTACGCAGGTCACATGCGATTGTTGTATAAGCCAAAGTTTTGTCGTCTAATTCGGCCTTAAAAGATACCATCTTAATGAGTGCGCTGACTGACGTTTTAATATTTACGTATCATGCTGATTATCTTAAAAGGACACTCTAAAAGATGCCAGATTATCGGGTGTTGGTCCAAAAATCGGGGTTTCGTGTCCAAAATTCCTATAATATATAAATTTATGATCCGTTTTTCTTTTATAAAATCGTTTCATTCGGACATGACAGTCCGACCAATATTGGGATTTTATAAATGGGCCTATCATTCCAACATTTCATTCGTATAAAATGAAATAATGTGAGTAACATATAGACTTTTTAACTCTAAGCAATCAAAGCAACTTAAAAATATGCTTATCCCTTTTATAATACTTCTTTTCGAGTTTCACAATGGATTTAGATAACCTGTGYACATCCGGTTTATCCTCAAAAAATAACTGTCGGTGTTTACTGGTAAGTGCTGTATGAAACTCGCCTGGGGGAAATTCCYGATACTTTTACACCATTACTTGATTATAATCTGGGGCAATTTAGAATACATTGCAAATCGAAATGAACAGATGAAAGTCGACGTTCTTTGTCACAGTGAAAGATGTAGTAAACATACCTGATCTACAATTCGAACTTTCTTTATATTTCTGAGAAACACAAACGAGTACAACAGCCGAGTTCTCCACAGCTCGTGCCATAGCCTCGAGTGTTGATCCTCCCATTTGTTCTAAGTCCATCCACACCTTGTAACCAGCTGTCATTAGTCGTTTTCTCACTTGTATCAATGTCTTTTGAACGTCCCACTGGTAACTGATCATGACGTGCTTGCTTTTATCTGAATGTTTCATCTCTACGGAGAACAGGGAGAGGATTACAGATAATCTGAAACTGTTTTATATTGCTCATTTGCTTTTTAGTGAACAAAATAAAGTGCTTGTAACGAAAAAAAATAAATAAGTATAAAAAACATGTAAATTTATTGTAAAGAAATATAGCCAGAGGTCTAAATTAACTAATAAGTTTTCTAGTTAGACCCATATCATCCAATGCTCAGCAATGTTTTTACTAATGGGTGGCCAAGAAATTGCGATACATGAACAGTTGTAAAGACATATAAAGACAACAACAACGTCATTTGCATGCAATTTTTTTGCGATTCCCGAGAGGATTTTGATTAAAAACTTCAGATCATGATTACAAGTTAAATGTTATTGACATGATCATAAAGTTTTGGAACTTGTGTGACGTAAAGAAAAAAGCCTAAGTAATAGACTGACATGCGCATCAGAGAAACTGCCGACTGTAATGCTGCATATATCTTGGGTTTCAACCACAGGATCAAAAATCCCTAGAGAATTAATCAACAAAGCTATCACCGCCATGTTGGACGACTGAAGAGGCGAAACTAATGAGAAATACTGTGTTATCGTCATCCAACATGCCGCCGATGACGTAACGTGAAACCGAATCATACATTTCAGGAAAGTTGGTCGGAAAAATGGCCAATGTCAATTGTCGAACGGCGATTACACGACCGAAAGAAGTGAAATAACAACTGATTTATACGGTAAGATAATCTGTGGCAAATCTTGGCTCCATTTAGTGTCCATTTCTATACAAGAGAATCCAATAAGTGTAATTTTGTTTGTCAAAACAGTGTAACCATAGTCACTTTCAACCGTGAAATCTCCCTTCGACAATCGCCGTTTACCGTTCTCCCCGACAACGTTTTTTGAAATAGGTGTAACTAACATACCTGCAGAGGAATCCAAACCTTGCTTCCCCTCTATTTCCCACAATGCACCGGAAACGGCTTTCGTTATCATATCGTTATCGCTATCTTTCAGTGTTTTCAATAAATCAACCAATCCGTCAGTTTTCTTCATTTTGTCTCGGTTATCTTCATCAAAAGCGAGCACCCAAAGAAGTTCAACAGCCTCGATCGTCTCCTCATCACGAAGCGCTTTTTCGATCATTTTCTTTATGATAGGAAGCGCATTGTTGTTGACAATCTAAAGAAATTTGACCAGACTTAGGGGGCGAGGACAACTCACAATAAAAGATTGATTTGATCCCTAACAGGAACTAATAAGCGTTGATGGGCGCAGCAGCGGTGGAGCTTCCTAAGTTTTATTTCTCAATTTCACTTGATTTTAATAGAAACTGCTGGTATAAGTTTGTAACAACGAAAAGAAGTTTCGTTGTTGATCCTAATACGACCAGCAAATACAAAAGCCTCACCCAAACACCAAGCGAATTTTTCCCAATACGGTATAATTCTTAAGAACTCCTACAGAAGACGATTGTGCGAGGAAAATTCTTCTGAAAATATACTTTCAATCTTTTGCCGAACGAGATTTGAGCCTCTTAGTGAAGGCAGGGGACACGTGGGATCCCCTAACATTTTGTCAAATTTAATAAATGTATAGAGCAAAAGATTGACATATACGATTTTTCAAGTTTTGAGTAGTGAACAACCGGCCCCACCCTTCTCTCACACCAACCCCCAACCCAAACCCCAGAAAATCTTACGCTCCTGGATTATACATTAAATCGTATTGTATAACGAGCACAAATACACAAATAGTGGATGGTATATGGCTGTCCCGAAAAGTCTTTGCTGAAAATCGTCTCCTGTCCAGCGGCTGTTATATGGCGAGCACTGAATGCATGCTCTGTTATATTCGTTTTTTTTCTCATATTGGTCCCATATTAAAGTTGTGTTGTGAATCAACTTTCAAATGAGGGAACGAGATATACGCCCTTTACATATATATCAGGAATGACCTTACCGTTTTCTTGTTGGTATCATTGATTGCCATTTGCGCCAAGCCTTCAGCGAGTTCAGCACTAGAGAATCCCAAATATCTGTGGCTAGAACTCTTGGTTATGGCTTTGTCAATTCCCAGGATCAAGAACTTGATTGGTCCTGAATTAAACAACAACTGGAATTAGTTCCTTTCACGTGTAGATGACTTAGCCTCCTCCGCAGGCAACACGTCATTTTTCGTGCCATTTAGGGATTCCTCTTGCATCCTCTTGGACGAGCTAGGGCCTTGGGTACCGCCAAGAAATTTAATTTTTCTGCTGGTTCACATTCTCTCCCGGTTATATCGAGAAAGACAGGAAGCCCAAGAGTAGAAAGAAACGCGGAAAGGAAGAGAGACGCCTGCGGAGGAGGCTACATGTAACTAATCCTGGTTAACGCTTAAAAATAATTTGATATGGCTAAACTTTGCACAAAATACAGGTCTCAAGGGAAAAAAATAGACAATGCGGTTATTGTTTTACTGGGTCCTAGTGTCTAGTGACCTATCATTTATTTTGCGCATAGCCATCCAATTCAACCAGAAAAATCAAAGTTCAATTAAATTTCCTTCTATCCCATTATATTCTTTCCCATTCAATCCCATTCTATTCTATTTCATGCTGCGATTAATTTTGCTTTTCTTTGTATTAAAAGAAGAGATGACAAAAAAATGATCATACCTTTATTTGCCATGATCAATTCATTATTGCTTTCATCAATCAAGTAAGCTAAAATTAGAAGAGCTTTTGTGGCAAAAATTGTAACTTTATCCTCAGTAATTGGGAGAAGAATTTTAACAGCATCACATTCTGCAAACTTTGGTCTTGTTTGGACACGCTTGCTTAAATTGTGAAGAGTACCAAGTCCCCTTGAAAGAAAGTTTCCCCTTTGATATTTCTTKGAAATACTGCCATTAATATCCTATGAAGAACATTACATAATAGTCAGTTTGTATAGCTGCATGAGCCTCCTTTTCAGATTTAGAATTCCTAATGAGAGGCCTCAGCTTTTTGCTCACTCAGGGTAGAAGAGGCCCATGAAGTATCATTACATCATTAATTATTTTTATTTTGTCCTAAATATATTATATTTAATAATTTTATAAATAATGGTAATTGAACTGAGTGGAGTGCAATTWKGTTCAAAATCAAACACATTATTCAAAATCGCACAACCCTGTAGAGGGGGTGCRATTTGTAATCACAAGTTTGATTTTGAAACATTGTCATAGAAAATAGAACATTAGAATTTAGTAAAAAGGAATAAATTAAAACAAGACAAAAGAGAGCGTTCAGCCTCAGTGATCTTCTTTTGTCTTTTAAATTTATTCCTTTTTACTAAATACAAATGTCCTATTTTTTATGACAACGTTTTCGCAAGTAGGTGTATATCCATTTTGAAATCTTACACATTGTACAGCATAAAATTTTATTAATTCGTACAAATACAATATTTGCTTCTCAAAGGAGACATTAAGAGTTCAAAATACATAGTGCCATTTAGGCTGAAATCAACCTGCTAATAAGAACCAATCAGATTGCTGGATTCACTTGTGATTTCAAAATGAATATAATTAAGTTATTAWTCAGAATTCAATTGATGTACAAGCTAACAATAATAAAAGTATTAGAAATAATCAATTTAATTTAATTTAATTCAGACTGGATGTGATTTCAAATCCTTGCAATTAGTTCTAGTCCTTGGCT